CGCATCAGCACACATCATCAGTGCATCAGCACACATCAGCGCATCAGCACACATCATCAGCGCATCAGCACACATCAGCGCATCAGCACACATCATCAGCGCATCAGGACTCGGGCTCCTCTGCCGCTCTACCTAAGGTTACAGCGGTGAGTGTTACTCATGTTGGACTCTCTAGGAGAAGGGTCAAACAGAATATTCACTACAATTTCATATAAAAGTCAGTGAAAATTAATAACCTTATGCAGTTCTGCTTTGCATAGGAAACAGCTCTTAAAATCATTTTGTAAAATTCATCCTCTTACCTATATTTTTCAGTCACTATACTGAAAGGGTGGCCTCTGTTTGTAATTTTGAAAATCTCATCAGCCAGGGCATATGGATGGCTTATTAGAACACTGTGGTGCTGTCTTTCTGCTCTTGCTGAACAAATACAGCGTCACTAGCACACATCAGTGCTAAAATGTAACACTCTGTCCTGTAAGGGACACAGGGTAGAAAGAAAAATGAATCTTCTTGAAACTAAGTAACTGAGTCCCAGGACTTTCCATTACTTATATTTTATTTAGGTACCAGGTACTTCATAGTTAAGGTACCACCACTGCCTGACTTCACTATGCTCATAAAGAGAGGACTGTTCAAACAACGCTGGGACAGGCCTAGGGAGCCCTTGCCTCATCAGCCCCCTTTCCAAATGATGCTTGAGGACCTATCATCCTGGCAGGGCCTCCCTAAGCTCTTCCCGGGGCTCACTCTGTACCTGCAGTGGAAAGGTGTGTGACTTTGCGCATCAAGGCCCCAGTGCGGTCATCACCTCCATAAACCTGCAGCTCAGGCTGCAGCTTCACCAGCTTCTCAGTCCCACCAGCATGGTCCCTAGAAGTCAAGCAGGAGGCCTGGGGTCACCTGATGAGGTGGAGGGGCTGCTCACTTGCCTTTAACCCCTGACCAAATGGAATTTGGACCAAAAAGCAAATTTCACTTTGCCTATACATTTTTCAGTAGAAACAGGCAACCAGGAATCACTTTTTATTTACCTGCCATTTGGCAACGGTGTAAACAACTTTCCCAGGTGTCTAGCACACCCCTGAACAGAAAAAGCCGACCACATACAGCTAGAGTGTCCCAAGCATGGTTCCATGGAAGCTGGAGAGGTCCCACTTGAACAGAAGTCTCACTTGTTTGTTTGTTTGTTTGTTTTTGTTTTTCAAGACAGGGTTTCTCTGTGTAGCTTTGCGCCTGTCCTGGAACTCGCTCTGTAGACCAGGCTGGCCTCGAACTCACAGAGATTTGCCTGCCTCTGCTTCCCGAGTGCTGGGATTAAAGGCGTGCGCCACCACCACCGCCCGTCGCCACCACCACCACCTGGTCAGAAGCCTCAGTCTTACCACACCTCCTGAGGTGAGGGATTGGGCACCAAGGAGGAGGTGGGGGCTGGAAAGTTCCCCCAGGTAATCCAAATGCGCATCCCAGTTTCAGCCAACACTACTGAGCTATTCTGGGAACTTCTAGAACCATGATACTGCCCACCTGAGGGAAATTTGTAACCACAGGACAGCTTGGGGGGTGGCGCCTCCTAGAACCGGGGATTCCCATAGTCCCCCAGGGAGTCCTTCTGCCTTTTAAAAAAGCAAGCAGCAGAGGACAGGGCCATGGCACAGGCACAGACAGGAGAATCCCCACACTGTGAGTCCCCTCAGCTCCAAGATGGGCATGGGAAACACCTGTCCCCTGTCAGTCCCATGGATACTTCACTCCAGAGTCAAACAATCCATGGAACAGCAGGGCTGTGAGATAACGGCGGAGCAAGTGACCCGGCTCTCTGCTCCACTGCCTCCAGGACGGGGATCAGACACAGGCCAGGGAGGCCCTTTGCCTCATCCCCTACCTTTTCAAATGTCGCTACCAACAAGCAATAACACAACTTGATCGTCCTTTGAGCCACAGGCCAAACCTGTAGCTCAGCCTTGGGCTGGACGATGACATACACGTGAGAAGGTGATAGAAAAGCCAGAATCCTCCACGTTTTCAGGAGAGGCATCTGAAGCAGTAGTTACTGAGGTGGAAGAGAAAACACAGCGTGTGGAAAGTGTCTGACGGCTGCAGGGCAGACGCTCCCAGACCCCCAAAGGTGGAAGTGTCAGCAGCCGGGAGCCCAGGGAAGGAGCCTCAAGAAATAGAGCAGCGGTAATGTGTAGCACAGGCCAAGGCTAAGGTAAACTCCCTGTCCCTGGTGCTGAAGCCTCACGCAGGACCTCAGGCCTGGCTAAACCAGACACAAAGACAGTGACTGAGCGGCTCAGCTCCAAGCTTTGCTTACATCAGGGGAGTCAGTGGGAGCTCCCGGCTCTGATATACCCAAGACCGGGTCAAAGAGAAAGGCTCTGGCTTTCTCCGTGGAGTCGTTTAGAAAAGAAAATCGAGAGCCTAACAAACATTTCTTCTGCCACTGAGGAGCCTTAAAAGATCCAAAAAGCAAGTTCTAGGCCAGCCAGAGATCCTGGCTCAAAAATAAAAAACAAAAGAATAACACAAGTCAGGAACGAGACTTTGGGCAACACTATCCTGAAGCCCCAAACTTGAGGGCAGCCTGCGTCACAGAGTGAAATCCCATCTCAAAACACCAAAGCCAAGCATACAACAAAAGCCAATCAGCACTTCTGGAAACATAGCCTTCCCCCGCCAATCCTCCAAAAGGCAGGGTCTCACAGCCTGGAGCTCACTATATAGACTGGTGAGCACTAAACGCACAGAGCCCCGCCTCCCTCTGGCTCTCCGTTTTGTTGTTGTTGGGTTTTTTTGTTGTTGTTGTTGTTTTTATTTGGTTGTTTAAGAAGTATGGCTGCCTACCTACTCTTCTTTTCTCTGACATGGATGGATGCCAGCACCACTTTTTATGAGCCTAAGATATGTGAAAGGCAGCCATTGGGGGTCCTCCTGTGACCAGAGAAGCCTAGCTTTAAAGGGACAGCAGTGGACACTTGTGCCTGAGGGTCTGTCCCCAGCCCCTGTTCCTCGTCACACGTCACAATACCTTACCTGGAAGTCGCTGCATTAGCAGAACTCAGAGGGCAATGGCCCAAGAGGAAGAAGGAAGGAGCCTTGGTGTGTTCTTAGAATCCTTCCCTGCTCAAGGGTCTGCCCCTTCTATGTACAGTGACTTCCCCGGTGAACAGCAGGTCCCACCCAGTGGCGGTGAGTGGTGAGCACTGTGGTCAGCTTTACACGGTGCTTTTCATGGTTTCTATAACCTACAGGCACGGGGGAGGCAAAATAAAGGCTCACTCACACTTCTGGTCCTGGTTCACCTGCCTGCAGAGGGGGTGCCCGGCCTCGTCCCACCCCTGATGACTGACCACATTCCAGACAACAGGCAGGAGCATTTCTTTTCTCTCCATCAACCTAACTGTTCGGTCCCACCCACCACCTCCCTGAGCCGGGGCAGCTCTGACTGAGGTCATTCACAGCACTGGAGCGGAAGCATGGCGGATGAGTAGGCTCTCGGGATTCGCACCCGTCCAGGCACAAGGTTTAAAAGTGTGTGTCAGGCTTGCCGCAGAGGCCTGTGGTCTCTCCGACCCTTCTCACTGCCCCATCTACCAGCAGCTAGACACAACTTTGTATTGAGTGAACTAATTTCCACCCAGCGTCCACAAAGCTGTAAAGACCCTGTGGCTGTAACCCATGTGGACGAAGGCAGGGTGCTGGCTGACAAGGCACAGGGAGCCAACAGGAGCCACACACACACACACATACACACATACACACACACACACACACACACGCACACGCACACGCACACGCACACGCACACGCACACACACACACACACCCCTTCTGGGGTTGCACTGGGTCTACAGTGGCAGCCTCCTGGGTGTCCTCATCAATGACCAGGTACATGTAGT